ATCTATGCATGAGAATGGAAATACTGGGATTGGAATGTTTTATTAACCATATTACTAATCTTATTCAAGAGTCAGTATTCAGTTGTATTTTTAACAGATTTATTTGATATTAAGACTTTTGTTAATGAATATCTAAAGAAAAACATATATAATTTGGTACTCAACATTACTTCTGATAGGCTATCGAAACTAATGCCATTAAACACAATCATAGTCTGTTTAGTTATATCCAACTTGTGGGAGTCTGAATTTGGGAACCACTGGCTGATCTGTAAAGGCCAAATATCGAAGAAAATATTTATGAAACCATCCAAGACAGTCTCAAACAGTCTCATAGAATTAACAAAAGAATTCTTAAAATTTTGATTGGCTTACTCAGAGAACAAAGTAAGTTTAAGTAACAACTGAACAAAATTTGACTCTCAGCGACCAGTGTCTGACACACATTAGAAATTAATCTTGAAACAGTTTATCTATCAGTACTTATCGAAACATAACCATTCAAAATGCTCATGTTTATTAATAAACTACCGGCCGGATTCAGTAAGACAATGGGATTTATCACAAATACAATGTATATTATTTCCTTTATAATAACAGAATGCATAACGCTCTTTCTTTATGTATTTTTGAATTAAAATCTCATATCAGTGTCAGTTAAAATAAAACGATAGCAATAATATTATTAGTATAACAGATGATATCAGTTGATAGTACAGAATACAATATTGTAGATATCATTTTATAGAAGTAATTCGAACTCTTAATTACAGAATTGTGAGGTTTTCAGGCGTTTTGTAAGTTAATTTCATCTATTTCTGTTTTTATACAAACAAAATTTAAAAAAATAAAAAACATTTCTACATTTTATCAGAATACATATACGATCATGATACAGTAGAAGACTGCTATGATATTATCCATTGAATTCAGGAACTACTTCTTGCCTTGGGAACATTGTATATTTCTTTGAAGAATCGCCTAATTATGTTATCAATATAGCAGTCATATAAGTCTTTAATTCATATACCAATTTAGACATTAAGTGTTATTTAGAAAAAAATTAATAAATATGTATAGAGATCAAGACATATGATACTATCCATTGAATCCACGAACTACTTTTTGTCTTGGGAAAATCTTATTAAATAGTATATAGAAAAAAATGAATAAATATGTATAGAGATCAAGACATATGGTACTATCCATTGAATCCGCGAACTACTTCTTGTCTTGGGAGCATCTTATAGAATGATATATAGAAAAAAAATGATTAAATATGTATAGAGATCAAGAAATATGATATTATCCATTGGATCTGTGAACTACTTCTTGCCTTGGGAACATCTTATTAAATGATGTATAGAAAAAAATGAATAATTATGTTTAGAGATCATGAAATATGATACAATCTATTGAATCCGCGAACTACTTCTTGTCTTGGGAACATCTTATTAAATGCTATATAGAAAAAAATTAATATATGTGAATAGAGATAGAGAACACAGAAATATTAACTAAATTAAGAAATGCTTATATACAGAAGACACAAAATCATAATTTTGTGAAACAGGACTAACGTCTTTCATATATTTCTCACTTCAGTTTTGCTAAACAAAATTATTTACTTTCTTGGAATAAGATTTATAATAAAACCTGTAAGTTGAAACGTTGCCTAATTAGCTTTAAAAATTTTCTCAAGTTTAAGTTTTCTAACTACTAAAAATTTGTAATTCTTTTAAAAATTCTCAACGAACTTTATTAACTTTCATTGTCACTTCAATCCCTCTCATTGAAGGTTCCCTTCTTGCTTCTTGCCACTCAGAGTTCATTTGCATTTTGATTATAAACAGTAATAATACGAGTATCCTTTTCACTTCTTCTGCTTACTTTTCTAGTATCAATGTTCCCTGCAAGAGCGTAAAGAAAACTTAGTTAATTAATTATAAAAATAAATGCAGCAAATTAATGGCTACCAACACACAGCAATTTGCCAGTTGGTTGACGCAACCAACTACATTCCTTTGGTCTCCTTTCCTCCTAAACAAGAAATCCTTACTGCTAAGTTAAATAAAAAACAAGAAGGATATTTTTTCCATTGCGAGAGGAATTTGTGGTGAAGTAGAAAGCGTTCAAGCTTCGTGCTACAGATTTTGTTTACTTTTTGTTTACAAACATAAAACTAAATTGAGAAGGACGAAATGCAGGGAAAGAAATAAACATTTTTTTTAATATTTATTTTATATTTAAGTATATGTATTTTAAATTGCTTTAAACGCATTTAAGTATCTTATTGAAGCGTACTTTCCAGTGATATTCAACGCATAAAATCTAATGTGTTATTTTATTATTTTGGTTATGCATAGAATCTATAAACTATATATTAAGTACTATATTATTTTAGTATCAAGACCTGATTAAATTGCATAAAACTTAAAGTTTAAAGTTTGCAATTTTTATCTCATATTATACATATAGTAATAATTTTTAGTACTCTTTGAGGTATTAAAATTTTGCTATACAACTTTTACTATATTTTAAATTTATTTTTTTTTTCAATTTACAAAATATATCCGAGATATATTTTTGCTAACATGCTTACATCAAATCTTGTGTAACCTTTTCATGTCGCACATTCTGTCAGATTTGCTATGCATAATTCGACGTTTATTCCTTGATGGATGTCATATGAAAATACTTAATACATGAGATGTTCATGAGATAAAAGTCAATACGCAAATATTTAACTAAACTTACTTGTATCTTGCGCAATATTTTAACTCCCACAATTTAATTTTGTCGTAATCCTGTTGAGAACAGGAAGGATTAAATGTGTCAGATATTGTCAGATTGTGAAGCGCGAAAAACACCAATAAAGCTAATAATTTACTTAAAATACTGTATGTAACCAATTAAGTTGTTTACTAGACATATGCAGGCGATTAAATTTAGGTCGTTTTGTAAATAATGTATATTAGACATTTTTAAAGTTATGAAAATTTGTATAAATCTATGAAAATTTAAATAGATTCAAGGTAATTTTAAAAATTTATATATAGTTTAATATATTCACAATACACCATAAATAATTTTAAAGGGCATTTCCAAATTTATCAGGATTTAAATATAGAATTTTTTAAATAAAAAACAGAAATAATTTAAAATCTATTATTGGTGAGTTGGTAAGTTAGTAGATGTGAAAGACCACATCTTCAACATAACGTAACCTAACCTAATTATATCAGAACGGTTTTGTTAGCAGGAGAAATATATTTTCTGTGCTGTTTTTAATTAACAAAAAAATTACCATAAAGCAATTAAACTCTTTTTTAATTTCATTTCTTGTTTTAAATTAATTATTATTGATTTTAGTAATTATTTCTTCGATTTTTTAACTTTTGACTACTACTTGTGTTTTGGTATGATATACGTATATCACTGCTACCTATGAAAATTCTTCAAAGACTGTATTTGAGGCTTGCATCTTCTTCTGTAATAATTTCAGTCCATTTTTAAATACACAGACGTTCTGCATTGATAGCAATTAATATAACCAAACCTATTCTAACTATATCAAAAGGGATTCGTTTGCAGTAGAAATATAGTATCCATGCTGTTTTTAATTATCAAAAAAAAATTACTCGAATAAAATTATGCTCTTCTTTCATTTACTTTCATGTTTTAAGTTAATTTTCTATTGATTTTAACAATAATTTTTTTGATTCTTTTAACTACTGTTTATAATTAGTTTTTACTGTCAGATATTACTAGTAGCTATGAAAACTCTTTGGAAACTATATTTGAGGTTTTTCTTGATTAGGTTCAGTTTTAATAGAAAGGCGTTTCACATCTATAGCAATGACAATCAGATATCTTCAGTCATAGTTTTCTATCGCTGTATTTCAAAGTAACTCGAGTCTTTCTTAATAGTTTCGGTCCACTTTTTCTGTATAGATATATATTTATTTTTATGGAAGACGTACTTTCATTAAATGTATTTGTTATTTCATCATTTAAATGCAATAAATGTGCCTTATTTGTAATATAGTTTGAAGTAGTATAAATTTAAAGGTGATTTCATCATCAAATACTTTCCATTTATACTATTCATTACCAAATATTTCTTATGTCGTAAAAACTCATTGCACCAATATTTATACAGTTTTGAATGGAAATAAAATCAAACTTCCATGACTCGAACTTCTATAACACAGATTTTCTATAACTCGAAATAAATGGAGTGCAACAGGGTTTACAGAGTAAATTACATACAATACAAAAAAGATTTTTAACTCGAAGTCGAACCTTTTCTTTGCAAAATGGTACTTCGTATATTAACATTTCTGTGAATACTATAAAAACTTAAGGTATTATTAAAGACAATCTATTTTCAGTATATATTATATCTATATTAATATTAAACTTTGTCAATAGTAAATTTTATTTACCCTATTTACTATTATTTACTATTTATAACATACTAAAACTAATATTAAGTATGTTTAAATAACATTAAAGCTTACTTAAATAGTACTGTATAAATATTTGCCCTAACTTGTATCTAAAAAATTAGTAAAATATAGATTAAATACTCTACTATTAAAAATTATAAAATAAATATATTTAAAATAAATTTAATTCAGAAATGATATCTTCTTATTTTGTTATCTCTTCAGTACACATTTGTCGTAAGAGTTGCAAATAAAATAATTTTTATATTAAAATCCTTAAATTTACTTGTGTAAATATACACCATTTTTGTTGTGAGTCTATTTCTGACATCCTGGCACAAAAGCATCTATATTTTTATGTAAAAATTATTATGATTACAAACATTTTTCTATTTATTTACGTTGCAATATTAAAGCACATAAAATACATAAAAGCATGAG